GAATATGCTGACATGGTAGGCTTTGTTTAATTTCATTCTATGGAAAGCCATACATGCCTTTTTCAACATTAAACAAAGTAATCAAACGGCGTGTGATTTCGTATATCACATTTATATGACGTAATTTTTGAAAACTTTATTTCCTATTTTAAGGGAGTCAAGGAATTCGTCGCTGTTATGAATGGCTACAAACACAACGCTACTGCTGTTTCACGTTGCGGACATTATATGACCCCTAACAACATTGAAGTCAGTGACCTCCCCGACACCGTTGACTGGAGGGACAAAGGCTACGTCACACCAATCAAGAACCAGGTATGCTGTTCAATCATAAAATATCTTTTATGCATTCGTATCTTTTGCTTGCATTGTGTAGCAGCCCCTAAAAACGGAACCCATTGATGCAAACATGTTATGTCTAAGACTTCTAACATTCGCCTCCCTCGAGCTCTCTGCCTTAGGTTCGAGTCCCGCCAGGGAATACGAATTTGTCCATGTGAGGAAACTATCTAGATCTAGTTAACTAACTTTCAACGGACGTGCATGCTTATTACAGAAAATATGCACGGGTAGGAGGTGGGAGGTATTATCCCTAAACAATAAAAGCCGAAAATTAAAACAGTGTCAGCCTTACTTAAATCAACAAACTTATTCATTAATTATGAGTTTTTCCTTTGTTGTTTTGTTTGTTCGTTCAGCCGCTTATTCATTCATTTAACAAAACTTGTTAATTCAGGGACAATGCGGCTCTTGCTGGTCGTTCTCCGCAACCGGATCTCTTGAAGGACAACACTTCCGTAAGACACAAAACCTCGTCTCTCTGTCCGAGAAAAACCTAATGGACTGCTCCGAGAGAGAAGGTTAACTATTTACTTATATACTTATATTCAACTTCCTAAAACAATGACATGTCTATTTAATAAATGATGCATTTTATACTTCAACCAAATGTATTATGTGATAACTTGCTATTTAAGGTAGTCTCACTACAATGCTTTCCCGCCACAAAACTCTTACATCGGCAAATATCGTAGCAAATCGGTTGTTTCCGGAACATTTTTTTTTCAAAATCATGGGTATTTGATGAATACAATCATTCATACTTTATCCCTATGTATTAAATTCCAGTTATAAATAGTTCAAAATAATTGAATACCGAAGGTTGTGAAAAAAATAAGAATCCGGAAATGGCCGATTTACATTGTATTACGATAAGTGCCGACGTAAGATTTTTCTCGGCGGAAAAGCATTACAGTAATCGTATTGACTGTGTCTATAATAAAATGTGAATTTGATCTCTCAAAGATATGTGTTCAAATTAAAAAGAAAAAAAAAACATGAAAAAATCAATCATTGGTAATTATGGTTATAATTTGAAGGTACATGTTGGTAATTCTCATTTGCATAATATTGATATAGATATGCTTTTGTAGATCAATGAATTAAATAAGATAATAAACTTATTTTACATCCAGTTCTTAAAAGCCCGGGTTTTTTTTTTTTTTTTTTTTTTTTTTTTTTTTTTTTCAGCGATTTTGTATAATTTAAAATTTATTAATATTTAAATAGGTAACCATGGTTGCAAGGGAGGACTTATGGATCAAGCTTTTGCCTACGTCATCCAGAACAAAGGAATTGATACCGAAGAATCATACCCATACGAGCCAAGGGTGAGTCCGTGTTTGAGCTTCATAGAAATATTTTGTGATCCTGCCATGTCATAAAGGCTGAAAATTGGCCTTTAACTTGCTTGAACCGGTTAAGTCAATATTGATAGTTTAACTGTGTATAACTTAAGGTACGCACCAATCACATCTCAGGGAATGCACCACCGTAACTTCACAGAAAGTCAGCAATAGTGAAACATTCGACCGGTGCGCAGGGGAGTAGGCTTTACTTGCTTTAGGCTACATAAAACATTTATTATTTGCCACGTCAATAAAGACTCAAAATTGGACTTTAACCTGTTAGAACCAGTTAAATCTCAACATTGAGCCTATATGACATGGCATAGTTATAGTTTTTGGTTTTAAGATCGTTTTTCATTTAAGCTGGGTTTTGACTTTTGAATCTGCTTAAACCTAACGAAATTCTTTCTGCCAAGGTAACGAGCCAGGTTGGCCTGAAAATCAGTGCAAGGCTGGTAAGGCGATATGCTATTGGTAGCTCATTAAATTGTATTTTTATAGTAAAATCCCTTGAACATTCACTCAAGTCTCCAAGATTAAAAGAAGGCGCAAATCCCTTAGCTCACAAACGAACTTTGTTAAATCGGCGGAGTTTTTTATCAAAGGGGAAGAACTCGAACAATACAAATAGCTTAAGAGTGTTATAGTTACTTCTCCTTGATAAATTTATCGTACTTAGAGGGGTGCTTATTACTGTTTTTTGTTTGTTTGTTTGTTTGTTTGTTTTGTGGGTTTTTCTCTCCAAAGAAATGAAACTTGAGAAAAATTTACAAAGGTTTAAACGATACAAGTAATACTGTAAATGTTATGTGCGATTTATGATTGATATTGCAGTATTTATCACCATATTTCTACCACGTGTCTAATTAAGTAACGGCTTTTTTGCGTATTTTGAACTTATTTCGTTATTTTACTTGGATTGTAATTGCCATTTGCAATTTGAAAATTTGTGTCTTTGTAAACTTTACAATATTATTAATTTTTAAATACATTTTCGAAAATTTAATGTTCACGAAAAGTGGCATAAATCTGGAGACATATTATTTTAAGCATCAGTATTAATGTCAATCCATTTCTTTCTTCTTGTAGGACGGTCTATGTAGATTCAAGGCTGACAATATTGGTGCTACTGAAGTAAGCTGTATGGACATTGAACACGAAAGCGAGTCTGATTTACAAAAAGCCGTTGCTATGGAAGGCCCAATTTCCGTTGCCATTGACGCCGGACACCGATCCTTCCAACTCTACAGGTTTGTGATTTTCAGATTAAAATGTCATGGACACTGGGTTTTTACCGTAATTTTCCCTGTGCAGAATGATATGCATGTTAGTCATGAAACTAGAAGAAGTTTTGTTACATAAATGTTAACTTCGTGATTAAATGGTCATTTGTCAAATGTTGGTTTTAAAATAAAAATATACAACACATAGTTCAACAATTTCCCAAACCAACAGTCTTATCTATTATTTAACAATTTATTCATTTATTTATAATCGATTTGAATTTCTTTTATTACTTAATTATTTGATTAATATTTTTTTATTTATTTACTTTTTAATTTTGATTTCTTTTCGATTAAAATAGTTTTCATTCATTCATTCATTCATTCATTCAGTCAGTCATTCATTCATTCATTCATTCATTCATTCATTCATTCATTCATTCATTCATTCATTCATTCATTCATTCATTCATTTAAAATTAAAATATTTAATTATTTATTTATTTATTCTTCTGTTAAAATTGTTGTTTTCTTTTTGTTTTCTTTGACATATTATAATCTAGAGATATGGTTTCAGGAGTGGAGTTTACAAAGAACCTGCATGCAGCAGTATCCGTCTTGACCATGGCGTTCTCGCCGTAGGGTATGGTAGTGAGTCTGGACAAGATTACTGGCTTGTTAAAAACAGGTACCATACCTTTTGATATGAAGCAACTAGTATAATGTCATTTACGAAAGAGTATTTGAGTTTATTTTTCATGTAATTAATGTATGAAAATATGTCAATCCCAGAACTGTTTAATTTGTTTATGATGATAAACGATCTTGTATTTTGGATTTTGTCAATAAATATAATTTTTACCGAAAATTTCTATTCATGAGTAATATTTAAATCAAACTTTCATTTTGCAACATTTTTCTCCATCTTGATATAGCGGCAAGACGTTTTCCCAATTTATCATTATTATTATAATTATTACAATGTATAATTATTATTATTTGTATTATTTGTATTATTATTATTATTATTATTATTATTACAATGTATTATTATTATTATTATTATTATTACAGTTGGGGCACCACATGGGGAGATAGAGGTTACGTCATGATGGCCAGAAACGACAAGAACATGTGCGGTATCGCTACACAAGCATCATTCCCAACAGTATAAATTCATACTCAAAAACTGCACGTAAATTTCGTGCTTAATGATACTGTGATAATTCCAAAGAGATTAATTTTAAAATACTGACAATCTCCAGGTGTAATCAAAAGTGAACATGTACAAATGTTTTGTGTTGCTATGTTGAAAATAATAAAAACGTTAATTAAAAATACATTTTAGTTGATGATTTATTATTATAAGTTTTCTGTTGTTTTTTGTAGTGGTTGCTGCTGTGGTTGTTGTTGTTGTGGTTGTGGTGGTGTTAGTGGTGTTTGTGTGTTGTTATTATCATTAATATGATCTTCATCACGGTTAAAATGATAACATCCTATAATAATCATTATAATTAACATTATTTGAATTATCATGATTATCATTATTATTGATATTTCATAAGTACGTGTTATAAGTACTGATATTTCATTAGTATTTACGTGTTATTACTATTGATATTTCATTTGTACGTGTAAATATCATTATTGATAATTCACGTACATGCCCTTTAGCACCATAACCATCTCAAATTATGTACAACTCACGCTATTGTGGCGCTTAAACAAAATCTTTGTATTGATCCGGTAGTGAAGCGCAGATAGTCCCGCACCGCCCAAAAAGGTCTTTGCTGAACATTTTAATATATTAAATGAAATGGAGTAATGGCATCTAGTCAGCCCAGATTGCTTATCCATATCTGAATATAGCCTGATTGAAAGGTATATTGTTGGCTGTACAAATATTCTAGTATTTCGGTTGATATGACCTTGCTAAATTCAAGTGCAATATGGCTAAAATTCAGTACGCATAGATAAAATAAGTATATACTTTATTTTTTCGCGCTTTTCATACGTATGGACCTGTGTAACAAAGGTCTGGTAATGTGCATTTCAACAAACATTACAACAAACAAAACTAACAAACATATAACACTTCAAGGCATTTTTTATTTATAAATGAAGATTTAATAACAACATAAGACCAGTTTCTAGGGATGTTTCTTGATGTTGCGCAGCTTCTGCAGTTTTGTCTTTGGTTTAATCGTAGTTCAAATTGTCGTAGGTTGCGAACGCCCACAATGAGATAAACAGTTCTTCTGCAGCAGTTGGGATGTTTGAAGGGCTGATAACGAAGCCATTGCTGGTTCCACTCTGTGGTCGTAATTCATACGTGTACGCATAGGGTACTCCTTCCAGGTAGAAATAGTCATACGCACCGCCTGATGCAGCGTCTGTGGGGAATAAAATGAGAGTAAAGATCATGACGTTTTTGAAGTTTGACGGAAACAGACGAGAAGATGGTATTGACATATAGAGCCAATTGGAACATCCTATTATCTATAATATTATCCGAAGACTGACGGAAAGGACCGAAAAGTTGCGATTGATAAAAGAACAACAAAACAAATACAGTGCGTGTCAACCAATGAAATGTCGAGAAATTACAAGCATTTTATATCGGCATTGTAATATAAATGATATATATTTTGGGCCAAATACTGCGATATGTTCTCCCGTTTTGAATTGTAAGATCTCCCGTTTTGAATTGTAAGATTTCCCTAAAAAGCTTGAACTTTTACATTTTATCTTACTTTTTTTAAAATTCCACCTCTAGTCACTTTTAGTTTTACCCATACTTCTCATAAGCCAGTTCACTAAACAGATTCAGCGTTTTCTCCGGTTTTTGAGCCGGTGTTAGGGGGATAGGCTTGATGCTTTCATTAGTGCTAAGTCGCCGGTATTGGTGTGGGGGCAAGATAATTCAATTAACGCTTAAAACCTGCCATGACCAGGCTGACTCGAATTATTCAGCATAATTATTTTTGGAAATAAAAAAAGTAAATCACTTCAAGAAACTCTAGATAGAATAAAGGCATCTCTGTAAAGAGTCTAAGACACTTTACAAAACACTTACAGAGGATGTCCGGGGGAGTTCCGACTAAGTAATATCTATTGTCGACAGTTTCCAAATATGCCATCATAGCGTCGGCAACCTCGACCTGAAGTAGAAAAATAGAAGTGTTTCATCAAAGACAAATCACATCACCTGAACAAAACCTCCATTCTTCCGGGTAATATTATAACTTTCCGGGTAAAGTGGAAACAATTCGTTACAATAAGATGTGTAGTTAATGTTATGAGGTTGTTCTACACGTCCGCAGCTGTGAAACCTATATTGAACTCGGTTGGCATTTCGTTCCATTAAGATTTGACAGATAAAAGCTCAGGATATAGAATATCAGAATTGAATCAGCATTTTGACAGAACTTTGTTACTGCGACTTCAATACAGATTTGATATAAATTTGTGCTGCTTTGTTTATTTGTAAAATGAAAACGAGGCAAGCCGGAGTACATTATGGATTTGATATTGATTTTTGGACTCGGAAAATAAAACCTGGCTCAATTAATGAACATCACGTGGTGCAAATAGTGAAAGTTTACTAGTTCA